AAGGCTGGTACTGAGGCCTTGAAGTACTCCAAGATTTGTTTATTTGTAAAACTCTTTATCCTCCCTTATATTTAAAATGAGAATTTTCTAAGTTTGAGTAGTGTCAGTTGAATATTCTGTTCCCTTAGAACACTCAGTATATTGTGACATAAACACTTCTGCCCTGGATAGTTTCTTGTGAAAAGAACTGACATGATCTTATTGGAGTTCCCTAATATATAATTTGTATTTTGTACTAAGTTGGCAGTACTCTGTTTATAGTTTTTGGTTTTTTGTTTTATTTCTTTTGAATTCTCCTATTTGTCCTGGGTTTCATTCTCAAATGTTATCTGCCCACCTGTGCAGACTGATAGTCAACAATTGATTCCTGTGGTAATTGTGGTAAGTGTCTGGACCTGGGCGTTCTTGGGAGCCTCCAGGTTACACGCAATAAGTGGTCTAGCAAATGAACTACCAGGGATGAAACTAAAGGCCTAGACTTACCAGTCATGTCCTCTAGTATTTGAGTAAACTTTCAAGATTTTTTTTTTGTATTTAATTCTATAACTTTTTAATGCTGTAATTATAATACTTCCTAGACTCTTTTGTTTTGTTTGCTTAGCACTAGTTTGTAAAAAACTGTGCACGCTGAAGGTCGAGTGTTCATGGGCTCTATGGAAGACTCTATCTCACCACCCACGTTCGGTGCCCTAGAGCCGCTGTGTGTGGCCTGGATCAGAATGGCTGTTGGCCAAGGGTAGACAAAGGAAGAGACGAGGACCAGGCCGGTTGATCTTAGTGGCAGTTTATTACCAGGAAGTTTATCCCATAGAAGAAATTTATGTTTTGGAGGGCCTAGGTTCTCTCAAGCACAAGTTCTCCTTACTAGTCTCTCGGTAGTCCATCTTTCAGCCCTGCTCTCTCCTTCTCCAGCTCCCTTCTAGTCTGGGCTGACACTCCACCCAGTCAGGTAGCCAAATCAACATAAGAAAGCCCTTCCTGAGTGCTCAAGGGCAAGATATCTCTTAAGGTGTTTTTCTCTTTTCCTCAGTACAATAAACTATCAACTATTCCTGAGGTTATGCAGGAAGGACAGAACAGTGTTATCCTACACTAGTTGAGTCTTGTTTATTTGTATGCTTATTTAGTTTCATCCCCCAACTTTCAAAATCTCACCTATCTTCAAAGAGGATTTCTTGTACTTTCTGGTTCCTTGGACCACTATAATGTAATTGTAACTCCTCCTAAAACTCATAGTGTTCCTCATCATTATTTATTTAAAATTTTAAGCACTGTGATCTACAAGGCTGCTAATTGTAGGGTTTTATGGGTGTAGTTTCAATGATACCCCTTCTCAGAGCACTCATGTCCCTCCCTGACTATACCAATTCCCTTTTTCCCTTATATACCTTCGCCCTACAAACTGAGTTCTATAGACTCGTTCATAAAAGTCTGTTTCCTTTGAAATTTGTTATTCCCTTACTGTAATTACTGTTAATTTGCTGTTATTCCCTTACTGTATTACTGTACTGGCCAACTCGAGTTCGATTCCTCCACCCCTCTCGGAGAGCCTCACAAGCTACTGAGAGTATCTCGCCCACACGGTAGAGCCTGGCAAGCTACCCATGACGTATTCAATATGCCAAACACAGTAACAACAAGTCTCATGATGGAGACATTACTGGGCCTGCTCGAGCAAATTGATGAACAACTGGAGGACCGTGACCGTGACCGTATTTATTTCTATTTTACATATGAAGGGGATTATTTTGTATTTCTTCCTTTCCTTCTACTAACTTCACTTTTACACTGTCTTGACTTATTTCTTCTTACCTTTTTTTTAGGTTTTCTGCTGACATTCTTTCTCTCCTAAACAATCAAAAATTCCTTCTTGTTCTTGTTAGTAATCTATACTTTATTTTTATCTCAGTCATTATATTTTGAAATCCCCCCTTTCATTTGAAGCATAGGACTCTTGTTTTGTTATTATAAAACTCATTTGGGGTACTGATTGTTCACTCTTATTTCTTTTAGCATTTGCTTTATAATCTTCTTCAATCAAGCTACCCTAACTTTGATACCATTTCCCTTTCTCCGTTATACAACTTAACCCTTTAACCTCAATTCCATAGACCAGCTCATGGGTCTGTTGTCTTCACATTTTATTATTCCCTTATTATATTTATTTATATCCCACATGTGAAGGAGATTATAGCACTTGACCTTTTTTCTGGGATTTCATTTGACTCAACTCTTTGTGGAAAATTACTATTTATTCTTATTTGGTTTGAGATTGTATGTTCAATATTTTGTGTTGAGTTTTACAATGAAAATAGTACCAAAGGTGTCATATAAAAATGGTATGTTGTAAGATATAATCTTTGGTTATTTTTTCCAGAAAAAAAAATGTGCCTATTGCTTTACATAGTGGCACTTTTGCAATATTGAGCTTATTGAAGGTTATTGTCACCATGGGGTGCCGAGGAAGCAAAGAACACTGATAATTGGACTTTACTTCAAATTTAAGTCTACCAAGAGGGTATTATATCTGATTGGAGGGGGTAAGATCTTTCCCATTCTCTACACCAATTCAACAATCAGCCTTGCGAGAGTTTTAGCTATTCCTTGGTCTTAGCTTAATTTTGATCACAGATTTTGATACTCAAATTGCTTATAGATCTGTCGACAGAGAAGAAGCTACCAATTCAGAATATGCTCAGGTTAAATTATTGACAATAGAAATAAGCAAATATTGCAAAGTTTGTTCTAAAACTCTATAGGATTTTTTTTATTAAAACAACATCAAAAAAAGCAAAGAAAAATGCCTCCCTTAGAGGCAAAAACTAAATGCTTCTTACAATTCATATACTCTAGGATCAAACTAGAGAGAGAAGACAAGATACTGAACACATCAAAGGAATGGACAACCTAGTAGACAGAAAAATTGCCTTTACAAAAAGTACTACATAGAGAAGTGTCTCTTATAGGAATCCATAGGTGGATATTACTAATTTGTAACAAATGCCACAATCACTCCATGAGGGTTTGGTCTTCATCTCTCTGAATCTGAGGATTATAGACTTAATTTTTCAGAAGACTGAAAAAATGTGATTCTGGCAGTCATGGAACTATCCGCTTCAGGGACCCGAGGAGGCCAAGGATCTATTTCTCAGTATTTTTCCTTATTCTCATCTAGCTATTTAGAATCTGCCATTGCCTGTGTCTCTCTCACTTGCACTCAGCTATACAGTTTTGTTCATGACAATCCTGATTCTCTTTGGAGTAAATGCTCCATTAAGTGTCTGGCCATGTGTGCTCTCTTTGTCTACACAGTTTTATCTAAATCTCCAACATATGGGTGAGTCTTTGTCATAGTAGCCTGTAAATATTGTCACAACCCTGTCCCAAGCCATAGTATCAAAGAGGCACAGAAAATAGCCTTCTTAATTGTTTTTAATTTGAAGCACCATGATTTACAATGTAGCACTGTAGTACTGTCCTCCCATTGTTCATTGATTTGCTCCAGGGGGCCCAGCAACATCTCCATTGTGAGACTTCTTATTACTCTGTTTGGCATATGGAATCCATCACATGGAGCTTGCCAGGCTTTGCTGTGGGGGAAAGATACTCTTGGTAGCTTGCCAGGCTCTCCGAGAGGGGTGGAGGAATCAAACTCAGGTCTTCCAGGTCGGCCGTGTGGCAAGGCAAACGCCCTACCACTGTGCTATCGCTCTAGCCTATGATTTACAATACTGTTAATAAAAGGATTTCAGACACGTATGGGGCCAATCTCTCTCTCCACCACATTCATTCATGGCTGTCTCAAGGTTCCTTCCCTCCCCCAACCCATTCTAGTAAGTTCACTTCTGTAGTCTAGTTCTCATGTTCTGTTGCCTTTGACAGTTTGTTATACTGACCTTGCTACATGTCTCCTGGTACTCAAAATCCTTTTTTTGTGTGTGTGCAGACCTTAGTTATAGAAGTTAAAAAAAGTTATAGAAGATAAAAAAACAAAAAGAAATAAGTTTATTCATATTTTTCCTTTTCCTCCCTCAATCTTAAAAACTTTACCAATGCAAATAATATGGTTATCTTTCTCACTGCCAAATTACAATTTGAGCCACTAAATAATTTAATACTTTAATTATAATGTTATTTTTCTAAATATTCTGCCATGTAAAGTGGTTCGATAAATGTTTTGTGTATACTTCTTAACAACCTTTGAAAACTGGTCTTAGGAGTTGAATGAGTGCCAAGAAAATGACTTTTTTTCCAAGAGGTTGTATCAATTTACACTAACAACATCAGACATTTTTGAGAACTCTTTGCTCCAAATTGTCACCAAAATTTAAAACTCTAACTAGCTTTTCATTACTGTTAGTGTATTATGTTTTGACTTGATCATAATTCAAATTTAGTTGCTAAATAATGAAGTAAAATGTCTTGAACGTACCGATTGTGTTTTTCTTGTTTTAAAATTCATGTTCATGGTTTTTATACTATTCTTTGTAGTGAATTTATCATTTTTTCTGTTTTTACTGTTAGTAACATTTAAATATCACTTCTTTTATATACATTTATTTTATATATACTCCGTTTATGTATAAATACATAACTACATAAATACAGGAAATACCCTTCTTTCTTTCTTAGATATTTATGCTATGAAATAACCAAATTATATTTAAAATTCTTATGTGTATACCCACAGGGCACCTATATCCATGAGAGGTTTGAAGAAAGAGACAAGTTGGGAAGCATGGATGGTGTTTGGGCATTCAAATGGGAAAGAACTTGAAGTAGAGTTTGTTTGCTAATTAAAAGTCAAGCAAAAACTTCATAAAATATTGTTTGATAGTAATTATATTAAGTCAACTATGTCAAGACCTTGAAATTAAATGCTTTCAGATAGTTATGGGAGAGGAGATTCTCTTGATCATGAAGAAATTTGCTTATTTTTGAATTTAATTGTTATTAATACTTTTAGTGACCTTGGGCTTCCTCCTTAGGTCACTAGCAGGATGCTGCCTTCAAAGGCCCTTCCTAGCATGTGCTGGTTTCTGCTCTCCTGCCAGATGTCCCTCTCTCAAGTCCAAGGTAAGAATTATCCCCACTAACGGATCCTTGTGAATGTTTGAGCAAATAGAGGGAGATTGGCAATCTAGAGATGTATTGGCCATGATGATCATATCCCCCACAATTAATAAAGGTAAAGGTAAAAGGTAAAGGCCCTCCCGTTGATCGTCGATTTGCTCGAGCGGGCCCAGTAACGTCTCCATTGGAGACTTTGTTGTTACTGTGTCTGGCATATCGAATACTCTCGGTAGCTTGCCAGGCTCTCCGAGAGGGGCGGAGGAATCGAACTCGGGTCGGCCATGTTGGCCGCGTGTAAGGCGAACGCCCTACCCGCTGTGCTATCACTCCAGCCCACACACAATTAATACCTTGAAATTATTTCTTAATCACTCTTCTTTTTCATAACTAGTAGGGGGCAGAATTTTATTGACTAATTAGCCATTGAATGAGATGGTTTGTCATCTTTCCAATTGATGTTTCTGTTAGTAGTTCAAGGATAAATGTTTAAAGAATCAAATAATTATATGGAATACAATTAGACAACCCTCTTGTAGATGAAGTCCAGGGGAAATTTTACTTTTTCCCAATATAAAAATATTGGGAAAGAATAAAAAGAAAATGTGATAGTTTCTCTCTTAATAGAACCGCTTCAAAATAAATTGAACATAAAACAATTCACAACGGGAAAGATATTCCAGCGTTTCAAATCATTTCCCAAGTCTTGCCCTCCTGGACATTCCCAACCTACATCCCTACAAAGATTATCACTTTTCCTCTCATGTCATTGCTTTTCTCCATTCTGTCACTTCTAGGTGAGCATTCATTGGAGACAACACCCTATACAGGTAGAGTCTGTCCAAATGGCTTCATGGTCTATGCCTCCCACTGCTATTCCTTTTATACAACACCATCTACCTGGATGCAAGCAAGTGTGAGTTTTGAATATAAAATTAAGGGATTTAAATTTTTATTAGATATTAGGGTAACAGCCTTTTACTCATTTGAATTTATTTCTAAAGTACACCTTCTCTCTACTCATCCTATACTCCTTCCCAGTGATACCACAAGCTATTCCTTATTATTTCATTTTCTACATAGATGGACTGTCAGAAGTGGCCATCAGGACAACTTGTCTCTATACTCAGTGATTCTGAAGCATCCTTTGTGGCCTCCCTGATCAGGAGCAATGTTAATAGCTATTATTACGTCTGGAATGGACTTTATGACCCCACAGAGGTGCCTTTTAATTTTTCTTCTGTTAGCTCAAAATCTACTTTGTATGATATTCAAAATATTTCTAATCTACCTTAGGAATTTTAGAGTTCTGGAACTCAAAGATTAGAGATGTATTTGGGAAAGGTCATTGTAGTATTTATACGAAGACCTGAGTTCTGTAGAGATCTTTTGTCTCTAGGTAAAATTCACTACCTTCCATCAAAATTGTTACTAAATTACAAAGTGGGCCTGTAATTTATCATTCTAAGCATCCAAAATTTTGTGCAAAATCAAGGTCACAATTCAATGGGTTGTAGCATGTTCTACCCCTGAACACTGCCTGGAGTGACCCTGAACATTTAATCTTACGAAACTGTTGAGTGTGACCCCAAAATCCAAACCGCTAATTAACAAAAACATTATGTTAATACTAATAACTATGTAATAGCCAAAACCCTAACACTAATAACAAAAATCTAAGTGAGCATTGAACGAACATACATATATACAGAGAGTAATTACCGAATCAGGGCATCACCGATCATTAGAATAACATTACTCTTAGCTCAGATGGTTATTGTGGCATTTGACTTGGAGATTTGCAGTGGTTTTAGTAAGAAATAGAGATATTTTCCCAGAGGAAAACTGTGATTCAACATCTGTTACAACAGATCAGACTATTTCATGACTGGAAGGTTATCAAATACTTCAACAATGGATTCTTGAAAGAGGGAATAGTTGACAGCTCTGGCTTCATTGTTCTATAGGGATCTCAACCAAATGGAATTGGATGGGAGTGGAGTACCAATGATGTGTTGAAGTACAGAGCCTGGGAGGTAATACCTCCTTCTCTTCCAGATTCTGGCTTCTGTGGAATTTTAACAGAGGGTTCAGGTAAGAACTAGAAGATCGCACTTTGGCCAGCTGTTTTTGTAGACCTAATGCACATTTCTTCTGAATGTGCTCACAATGAAATCTTGCTCATTAGAAGCTGCAATATTGTTTTTTTACCATCTTTTCTCATCTCTCACTTTTTGAAGTCCTTTTCCCAATGTTCAAAAAACATGAGATGATGAGGAATGATTTTTAAACTTAGAACAGCATCTGCACTATCTCTCCATTAAACTTCACAAATTCCGCCAGTCTCATTTATTCTAGCTCTTCTCTCTTCCAGGTTTTCGAAAATGGAAAGATTATAATTGTGATTTGAAGTTACCTTATGTCTGCAAGTTCAAGTATTAGATTTGGAGAAAGTCAGCAAAGAGTATGGTATCAATTCATTACTGAAATACTGTCAAGAAGAAGAAACTATAGAGGGTAGTATTTCCCCAAAATCATACACGAAGCATTACAATATTTCTCCCTTCTCAGAGTCATTTGAACTTTATTTTGATATGGGACATAAAGCCAGACAATAATATATTAATGATTTTAGTCTACACTTGTGTGCTTCTTGTACTTTACTAGTATCAAGAGATATTGAGGAAGAGTTGTGTGTGACAAAATCTATATTGTCTCTCTCCAGTTTCCTCTGGAAATATGACTAAATCATGTATTCATATTTCCCTGATTATCTGAGAGATTTATCTTCTGGATGTATATTGTGTATACAAATAAGAAAAAACATTACTATGCCATATACAATACTTCACATTTTTCCTGATGATGTTACAAGTTTGGCATAAGTGGAAGCTAATTATTTATAGATCATTTTTTATTTCCATTGATTTAGAATTTGTCTATAATTTTTATAAAAATAATAAAAATGTATCACTTTGACTTATTGTTACATTGATCATTCATATAGCATTCACGTTTATGATCCTTTACCTATAAATTTAGGAGGAAAAAAGAACAATTTGAAAACGAACACTAACTCATTTTGGCTAATCACATGACTTATGAAGTTACAAAAAATTTAGATCACTTTTATTTATTTTTAACTACAAAAAGAGATACCAGCTTCACAAACGTTTGGTAATTTTAAGTGATAATATTGACTATAACTCATACAAATTATTAAGATCCATAATATAGGACAATTAATAGAAAATTAATTAATTAGCTAAAGATAAATTGAAAAGTTGTCCAATATGACAATTGGGGACCTCAGCACAGGAGGTATAATTTCCTAATAACATTTACTTTTGAAACTAGAATTTATTCTCATGGTGAACAGAGAAGATACTATTTTGAAATAGTTTCAAATATATCAGAAAATAAAGCTACATGGTGTTTCAGTAATAAAATATTTTTTTTAAAAAGGCAGTTGCAAAATCAGCACCTTAGAAGGGGCTTCACACTCAGGACAGGATACTCTGGCTGTCACTGGTGTTTAGGGGTGCTTTACACTATCTGAGAAACCTCTCGAAATGAACTGTAAAACTACAAAATACTACTTCAGGAAATAAAAGAGGACATGAGGAAATCAAAAGATATCCCCTACTCATGGGTCGGGAGATTAACATTGTCAAAATGGAATACTTCCCAAAGCATTGTACAAATTCAATGCAATCCCTATAAGGATACCCATGACATTCCTCAAAGAAATGGAGGAAACACTCCTGAAATTTATATGGAATAATAAGCCCCCATGAATAGCTAAAGCAATTCTTGGGAAAAAGAAAATGGGAGGAATCAGCCTCTCTAACTTCAAACTCTACTACAAAGCAGTAATAATTAAAACAGCATGGTACTGGAACAAAGGCAGAGATGCAGACCAATGGAACAGGGTTGAACACACTGACATCTCCCCTCAATCATATGATCATCTAATCTTTGATAAAGGGGCAAGAAATGTGAAGTGGAGTAAGGAAAACCTCTTTAACAAATTTTTCTGGCAAAACTGGATGGCTACATGCAAAAAAAAATGGGCTTAGAACTCTGCCTGACTGACACCATGTACAAAATTAAGATCAAAATGGATTAAAGACCTCAACATCAGACCAGAAACCATAAGGTACATTGAAGACAAAGTTGGCAAAACCCTCCATGACATTGAAGCTAATGGTATCTTCAAAGATGTCACGCCACTGGCCAAGCAAGTGAAAACAGAGATAGATAAATGGGACTATCTTCAACTAAGAAGCTTCTGCACCTCCAAAGAAACAGTGACCAAAATACAAAGACAATCTATAGAATGGGAAAGGATATTCGCCGAATACACATCTGACAAGGGGTTGATATCAAGGATATATAAAGTACTGGTTGAACTCCACAAGAAGAAAACATCCAACCCCATAAAAAAAATGGGGCGATGAAATGAACAGAAATTTTCTCAAAGAAGAAATCCAAATAGCTAAAAAGCACATAAGAAAATGCTCTACATCATTAATTATCAGGGAGATGCAGATCAAAACCACAATGAGATACCATCTCACACCTCAGAGACTGGCCCACTTTCAAAAGAACAAAACAACCGATGCTGGCACGGATGTGGCGAGAAAGGGACACTCCTTCACTGTTGGTGGGAATGCCGACTGGTTCAACCCTTTTGGAAAACAGTATGGACAATTCTCCAAAAATTAGAATTTGAGCTCCCATTTGACCCAGCAATACCACTCCTGGGAATATACCCCAGAGAGGCAAAAATGTATAGTCGAAGTGACATCTGCACTTGTTTGTTTATTGCAGCACTCTTTACAATAGCCAGAATCTGGAAAAAACCTGAGTGCCCAAGAACAGATGACTAGTTAAAGAAACTTTGGTACATCTACACAGTGGAGTACTATGTAGCTGTTAGAAAAGATGAAGTCATGAAATTTACATACAAGTGGTAATACATGGTACTACACTTATCATGCTAAGCGAAAGGAGTCAGAAAGATAAGGATAGACATAGAAAGATTGCATTCATCTGGGGAACATAAAGTAACAAAATAGGAGATTAATACCCAAGAATACCCGAGATCAGTACCAGAAGGATTGCTCCATGGCTTAGAGGCCGGCTGGCCATTCTAGGGGAAAGGGCAGCTCAGATAGAGAATGTTGCACCAAAGACAGGGTGTTTGGAGGATCCGCCCAGTAGGAGAGATGCATGTTGAAAGTAGACTATGGACTGAACATGATTGCAACAAAATGCCTCTCTTGCAGACCACAACACCCAAAAGGAGAGAGAGAACAAAAGGGAATGTCCTGCCACAGAGGCAGGGTGGGATGGGGGGGATAGGGGTTGGAGGTATACTGGGATCCATGGTGGTGGAAAATGGGCACTGGTGGAGGGATGACTATTTGATCATTGTATAATCGAAACCCAAGCACAAAAATTTGTAAATCTACAACTGTACCTCATGGTGCTTTACTAATAAAAAATTTTTAAAAATATATAAATTTAAAAAAATGGAAAAAAATGTTTCTTGAAAGTGACCAAAATACAAAGACAATCTATAGAATGGGAAACGATATTCACCCAATACTCATCTGATAAGTGGTTGATATTAAGGTTACCCAAAGCACTTGTTGAACTCCATAAGAAGAAAACATCCAACCGCATCAAAAACTGGGGTGACAAAATAAACAGAAACATTCTCAAAGAAGAAATTCAAATGGATAAAAGGCACATGAGAAAATGCTCTACATCATTAATCATCAGGGAGATGAATATCAAAACAACAATGAGATATCATCTCACACCACAGAGACTTTCCCACATCCAAAAGAACAAAAGTGATCGCGATTTTTTAGCACAGATGTGGCGAGAAAGGGACTCTCCTTCACTGTGGTGTGAATGCCGACTAGTTCAGCCCTTTTAGAAAACAGTATAGAGGATCCTCAAAAATTAGAAATTGAGCTCCCAATTGACCCATCAATACCACTCCTGAGAATATATCCCAGAGAGGCAAAAACCTATAGTCAATATCACATCTGCACTTGTGTTTTCATTGCTGCACTGTTCACAATAGACAAAATACGGGGAAAAAAAACCCGAGTGCCCGAGAACATATGACTGGTTAAAGAAACTTTGGTACTACTACACGATGGAATACTACGTAGCAGTTAGAAGGGATAAAGTCATGAAATTTGCAAGCGAGTGTTTCTACATGTAAATTATCATGCTAAGTGGAAATGAGTCAGAAAGAGAGGGACAGACACAGAAAGACTGTACTTATCTGCGAAATATAAAGTAACAGAATGGGATACAAACACCCCAAAATAGTTGAGATAAGTACCAAGAGTTTTGCTCCATGGCTTGGAAGCCGACAGCAAATGCTTGGGGAAAACGCAGCTCAGATACAGAAGGGAACACCAAGTAAAAGGTGGTTGGAGGACCTGCTCAGGATGCGAGATGCGTGCTAAAAGTAGACCAAACACGATGGCCACTCAATACCTCTACTGCAAACCACAACACCCTAAAGTAAAAAGAGAGCAAAGGGGAATGCCCTGCCATATAGGGGGGCAGGGTGGGGGGTGAGAGGGTGGGAGGACTACTGGGTTCATTGGTGATGGATAATGGGCACTGGTGGAGGGATGGGTACTTGATCATTGTATGACTGAAACCCACACATGAAAGTTTGTAAGTCTAGAACTGTACCTCATGATGTTTCAATAATTAAAAAAATAAAATTAAAAAAAGAAAGTATACTTTTTCCTTAATATCTTTAAGACTTTTCAGAAGGAGAACATTGGGAACGACATATCCATCCTGCGAAATTTAGTATGTGGGCAGGTGGACTTAGCTATTGAAGAGATCCAAGTGGAAATCTTGGATAATCTTCTCCATTGCCCTTCTGGAAGATGTGATAGATCCATCAGGATGTCAGAGGGCAGTCATCTTGGTCTTGTAGTTGGAGAAGGACAGGCAGGTGTTGTGAATGCTCTTCCCGACTTCTGCTGCATCTACAGTACTACTGCTCTTCTCTCTTTGACGTCTTCCTTTATCTCTGCAATACTTTGCAAACTCGGACGTTCACTTGTGGTTGCCTGAGGCTTGCGCCAACCCACGTTGGCAAAAGAGCTCAAGAATTCTCCATTCCGAAATACAACACACCATTTCATCAGTAAAGAAACACACAGTACCCAGCCCAGAGAAGGTCTTCTCAACACCTGAAGAACCTGCAGTTCTCATCAATACACTGACTTGGTTCTTCACATGCTACCTGTCTGAATGCAAGGTTTCATCCCAGTGGAAAACAAGGAGGACCATTCTACTGTACAAGAAGGGAGACATCCACGACATTGGCAACTGCCGCCTGATATGCCTGTTGTCTGTCATCTACAAGTTGTTCACTCAAGTCATCCTGAATA